TGTTTATCGCATAGAAAATTCACTTAACTTATTATTGTTTAGCATTCAGTTCAAAAATGCATTTATTGTATATTCATTTTTATAAATAGAACAGCCATATGCCCAGGGAGGGTCAGTGGTATCCAACGTTACAATTGTTACGTCATAATAAGATTGACGTAAACAATCGGTCATGACATTCATAATATATAAAAGCATTAAACTGCCTTCTTTTGGTAAGTTATTGTCCTATAATTCTTACAGGATTGCAGACAAATTGAATAACGCGCGTGCCCGTTTTGATTAATTTGTCTGCAACGTTGTGAGAATTATAGGACAATAACTTTCCAAAAAAGGCAGTATAATACTTATATTTCCGTTTTTAATTTAAGTTTTATTACATTTCAAACCTGTTAACGCAAGTCAAAAAACAGTTCGTGGAAATAAAGACAAAATCATCAATTAAATTTCAACAATTTAATCAATATGTTCCACCGTGAGGATATTCAGCTTTTGTACAACATAACTACATGAATGGTTGCGAGTTACATTGATCAATTGGTTTTTTCAATCCGGTAGAACGGATGGGTTACCAAGAGGAATGCGTAATGTTTCAAAATGTTCGTGACGTCAATAATACATTTAATATAGTGACGTCGGTCAAAACGACGTCATTTAGTCACGACGTAACAAACATGTTCTTCATATCACTACACCAATGGGAATTATGTGAGAATTATGATCTGATATCTTTCTATTTTGTTTTGAAAGGTTATATAGTGGCAATGCAGAGCAAACAGATATATATATATATGAATGCCACCTGAACGTGGTAGGGATAAATAGTTTCGAGTAACTGTCTTTCAATTCGGCTATGGCAGGACGAGGTGTGAGCAGTGTAACCGTAGATAGGAAGTTATCAGATTTTTTCGATAACAAAACCGGGGTCTTACAAGGGGAAATTGTCTCCCCGATTGTATTGAGTATGTTTCTAAACGACTGTGAGATGGAATTCCTCAACAGTGGTGTTCAACCTTTAGAACTACAAGAGTCGTCGTTATTTTTACTAATGTACGCCGACGATATGGTGCTTTTCTCGGAGTGTTGACGGCCTAAAACACATGTTAGATTGTTATTACTTGTATATACTAGGAGGTGGTCTCTAACAATTAACGTTGAAAAAACAAAAATTGCAGTTTTCAGAGAATCGGCTGTATAACATGCAAATGAGACATAGCAGTATGATGGGGTCCCACCTTGAGTCTGTAAATTCTTTTTCTTATTTGGGGGTAAAACTCAATTATAATGGTAATTTTAACTTAAAGATCATGTAAATCTATGTTGTTAAATTTCTGCACACTGTTGTCACTTTTTGACACATATGTCGGCAGTGTAGCCAACTATGCTTGCGAGGTGTGGGGTTTACACAAAGCGCCTGATATCGAACAATTACATCTAGACTTTTGTAAGAATATTTTAAGAGTTCGAAAATCTACACCAAACTCAATGATCTATTTCGAACTGGATACATATCCACTTATCATTTCGAGGAAAATCGAACCCACATTGTAAAACTTGGGTGGCTTCTGTTAAACAAGAACTCTGTTCTACTGGTATGTCGGAGTACTGGCAAGCACAAGGTAGCTTCAATACACATCATGTTTTGGTTTTAGCAAAACAGAGATTGTTTGATGTTTTAAAACAAGACTGAGAGACTCGTTTCTCCACCTCGTCTAATTGCAGTGTGTATCAACATATTATTGGTCATGCCTGCCTTCAACCTTACTTAAGTAAACCTATTCCTGTAAAGTACAAAAAAGTAATTGTCAAAATACGACTGTCAGTCTTCACACAATCTTTTAATAGAAACTCTTCCAGTTAAATTCCTCATAATTTAAGACTTTGTCCTTTCTGTAAAAATGATATAGAAGACGAATTCCACTTCATTCTAAAATGCCCCTCCTTCAGCGAACTATGAAGTAAATATATTAAATTATATTATCGTGTTAATCCCTCTGTCTATAAATTAAATTATTATCAACCGATAATATCAAAGAATAAACTAACCTGGGTAATTTCATATATCATGCATGTTTACTACGTTCTACTCTGTTGGCTTATAACTAGTTTGATTTGCAAGCTCTTAGTTCATAAAAACACATGTATTTAAATTATACATTTCATATGCTGGTTGTATTTTACAGCCTGTGCTGATTTTTAATGTACATTATGAAATTTTCCTATGAATCGATGAGATGTATATGCTCAAGATGAAATAAAGAACTTGAGTGTCAAGAGAGGTTTGATTAATAATGTATGTGAACTATTATTCAGAGAAACACATGACTAGACTGTTCAAGGGCCAGATATAGATATATAGAGACACGTGACTAGACTGTTCAAGGGCCAGATATAGATATATAGAGACACGTGACTAGACTGTTCAAGGGCCAGATATAGATATATAGAGACACGTGAGTTTTAGATGATAATGATGATGATGATGATGATGATGATGATGTAATGATGAATGTTCTTGGTCAAAAGGGTGGGGTGTGGAGAGGTGGGGGGGGAGGCGTAGAGAGTGTGCGGA